GATTCCGCTCCGATTCCTCATTTCTCGCAGTGTTCTGAAGATATCTTCGCTTGTGAGAGCTAAATGCTGGAGTCCTGGTCCTTCGTTGTGCTCCAGATAGGTCTGAATTTGGCTCTTCCTTTTCGTCCCGTGAACCGGCTCGTTCAAGGGGAGAAGAACCGTCTCGTCGTTGTTAGCCAGCACCACTGAGTTCAGGCCGCTCTCGGCGGTGCCGACGTCCTCTGCGGTGAATTCGGCGAACTGGTGGAAGCCGGTGAAGGATTTTAGGTAATCGACGGCGGGGCCGAGCTCGTGGACGTTTCCGACGGCGTGGTCGAGGCGGCGGATTCCGTAATCGAGGTCTTGGTAGGATGCGGTTCCGTCCATGGGTTCGAAGCCTGGTAGGAATGTTGTGACGGCGGAGGGGTCGGAGAGATAGCTGATGAATCGGAGCACGACGTCGCCGTAGAGGTGGACTTCGGCGAGGACTACTTGGTTGTTGAGTGTAACGGGCTCCGACACGGGTTTCGCGCCGCGGGAGACGCTGGCGGAGAAGGCGGCCTGAGTGTCCTCAACTACCAGGGCGACCGCGCGGACGCCGAGTCCGTGGGTGGCGTTGAAGGAGCGGTGGGCGGAGGCGGAGAAGGAGGGGATGGCGGCGGAGGCGGGGTTGGAAATGGAGGACGCATAGGGAGCTGTGAAGAGGAACTGAAGCTCGCCGCCGGAAGCGCGTAGGAGATAAGAAGCGTGAGCGGAGTTTCCGGTGGAAAGATCGGATTTCGCGGCAATGGGCATTCCCAGCGCCCAGGAGAAGCGGCGGGCAGTGTTAGTAGCATCGCCGCACCAGAACTCCACATGGTGGAAGCGTTTCACGGAGAAGTGGTCGGATTTGGGATTAACACGAACGAAATCCTTGAAACCCACCAGCTTGAAGCCGCCGTTCTCCGGCGTGGAGTGGTGGTTGACGGAGGAGGAAGTCTCTTTGCCCATGACTTCTGTTAATTTTTCTGAACTCTAACTGGAAACGATATGTTCTGGCCTGTCATTTATACACGTATCGCAAATTTTTTTTGAAGCCGTATTGCAAATTTTGATCTTATCTCATCCGAAATTTTGTCACCTCGAAAAAAAACATTAAAAAATAGAGAAAAAAGAGTAATAAATCATTCTTTCCAAAAATAATAATAATAATAATAAATCATTCCCACTTAAGAAGATTGATTAGTCCAAATATGATACGAGGCTAGTATTATGTGAACTATAATAAAAAGTATATTTTTAATATACTAAATGTACATTATTTTTGTACTGAGTATATATTATATGTACACTATACAATATAATGTACACTTAGTACATAAATAATGTACATCCCCTGAATATAATGTACATTATTTTTTTGTGTTGAATGTACATTATATTTGTACTTAATGTGCATTATTTTATAGTATACAAAATATGGTCCACACAACTTGTATGGAACATGGTCCACACAATAATGATTGTGGTACGGGTGTCCTTTAATTGTGCCGACCCGATGAGAATGTGATTAGTCTAAATATGGTATGGGCTTAAAGCTGTCTCCTACAGTTAGAACCTGCTTAAGACAACTCATGGTATGACAAAAAAAATATAAAATAAAAATAAATCTAAGATAGAAAAATATGAATTATTTATTGACATTCTTAATTTGAGACCGTCAGTTGGGGTAATTTAGATTATGTACTCCATAGAGTATATCTCTCACCAAATGTTCACATTTTATTGGAGGAAGAAAAATGAATAAAAATCACGATCCACCACATTTTATTGACACATCATAATGAGTAAAAAATTAGAGTAATGTAGAATTACTCAATTTAATTCTATAGTTTATTTTTCACTTTTAGTCTCAACGCTGTAAGACCCTTTAACATTTAGTCTTGGCTATTAAGTTTTTCACATTTGTTACAATGACTTTTAAAACATTGTCACATTTGGTCTTCATACCTAATTTTCAATCAGCGGTGGCTAATTTTATGTTTAGTAAAAAAATATCATAGAAAATGAAAATTTTGTCCTTTAAAATATGTCATTTGACTATTATGCATTTATGCACTTATGTTCAATAACATAAAAATAGCAATTTAGTCACCGGTGATTGAAAATTAGGCTGAATGGTCAAATGTGGCAAAGTACTAAAGTCATTGAATCAAATGTGAAAAAAATTAATAGTCAATGGCCAAATATAGAAATGATTTAATAGTCATGGGACCAAAATTGAATAAATAAATATTTTTCTTTACCTCCTTATAGTCGGTCTAAAGTCACAAAACAAGTTTCATTCAAAACCCATATAATCTTTAGATAGCGACGTTAAATATTATCATAATTTTGAGTCTGTTCGATTTTACTATAAGGGTCCGTTTGAAAACCTGGAAAATATTTTTTGGATTTTCAGTGTTTGAATACAGTAGGATTTTCTGTTGACCGGAAAAATTATAGACATTTTTATGAAAAATGACTTACACCATGTGAGCAAGACTTTTACGGTTACTCTTGAACCATGAATGACAGCTTTCTAGTTTGCAGACTTTTACTAAGCTCTTAGAGGTAATTTTATTTCAACCTAGCTCATTAATCACATTTCGGGCATAGCTATCTTGCTTGTGCCGTGCTACTTAGAAAAATGAAAAGAGATGGACCAGTCATAGCGCATATGGTTGACAAAACTTGGACGTCTCTTACAGCCTAGCTCTATCGAACTATCACCATCACCATCACCTGCGGTTCGTGTTTGAATTCGCAATATATAAGATGTCGCGGATAGGGACAACCGGTGATTGGTCCAGTGAGGTGGAACATTATCAGACAATTTGGATCAGGCAATTAATTGGATGAACCTAAGAGTTGGTATTAACGTGGAGTTTTTATCCAAAATTCTTCTCAGCTCCCACGCCAAACATCCTTCCAAAAGGCTGAACCACAACCCAAACAGAGCATTTGATAACTCAACTGAACATGAACCACAGAGGCTAGACATGTGCTCACTGCGCACAAAGAACCCCTCATTTTGAGAGATTGCTCCCACACTGCCGCTGGTGAGACTCGATCCTTGATCATTCTTCCAAAATTTCACCTTTGTGACCAGTTTAGCTGCCTATGCGGGTTACCCACGCCAAACATTATCACACAATTTGGGCGTCATCCAATTCCAATGATTCTCATCTGAGTAAGACTTTTATGGTGAGTCTTAAACCATTGATGACAGTTTTTAGTTTTTAAAAATGTAAGATCCTCAGACTTGAATACTATAAATATTAATTAAGTAAGAAGATCCTGGTGATAATTGAAAGGTAATGAAATAATAATAATAATAATAATAATAATAATAATAATAATAATAATATTTTTTTAAAAAAAAATTGTGTTAAATATTTAAAAACTGTGCTCATGAATTATGACATGTATTATAGTCAATTAGGTTGTCTTATTATTGATGGATTAAATGATTAATCCGTAAATGTTTCAACCTACATCAAAATAATATATTTGTTGACTAGTGGCATTGAGTGAATATCATAAATTTAACATAAATAGAAAGAAAATATTTATTTACTAGTATTTGTTATATATATATATATATATATATATATATATATAATTTAATGAACATGGCCAATAACCAACAAACACGGTTGAATGAAGAGTAACACATAAAAGATTTGTCCTAAACGTTATATGTAACAATTTAGTTAATTTTGACTAAATTGATATGTCTCAACTCTCAATAATGACCCATGAGCTAGCCATGTTTGGCACATAGTAACTATATGTAGATCAATCTGACTCATTGGTCTTTATGAGCCACAATAGTTACTATATGTCTATATATTCCGTAGTAATTATACGTAGTCTCGATCCAATATTGTACTAATTTGGATTGTGCTAATTTGACTTGACATGTTCACCATCTCTAACTAAATGTCACGATTTGGGCATGACAACCATTAGCAACAAAGTTACTAACAACATCCACTCTCTCTCGATGATAACAACGGCGACAAGTCAACAACAACATGTCATTTACACACTTTAAATACAATCTATCAAATTAATCAATCAAGGAAGACGAGTGTTAACTAATAATTAAGAAAAATCAAATGATTGACACCAACGCTTGATTGAGATATAAGAAATGAAGTGAGTATGTGATGTCCCCTTGAGCGGGATAAATCAAGCTATTTGATACTTTGCCTTGTACTAAATTAGCCCATTGATGTACTTTCAAGTATTTCCTCTTGATTGGTTCATCAGGTTGGTCAGTTGCCTAAGTTGCATATGACCTCAAGTTATGCCATTCTCCTATGTCACCCGTGACTTCCTTCGATGATCTAGATATGTCTGCCTAATCCACACGTCGGGCTACACGATTGAGCAAATATGTATAACCCATCAATTTTAATATTCAATAAATGACTTTGACAATATATTTTTTTCACATATATATATGTAGCACATCACAACAATAATATTTCTTCTAAGTGTTATCATTATATTTTCTTGCACGTTTCATCTAAATAGCATGATTTTGTGTGCCCGCGCACAAAAATAGCTCTTACAAACTTCTATTGTGTTTGGTCAAGTGTAGTATTATTATTATTAAGTTTCACATTAGCAATAACTAACAATATTGTCAACTCAACAACCATGCTAATTCCTATAGACTCCTATAATTATCACTTTCTATTATATACTTCCCATCATATTTTTCCTAACGCGTTATTTTTTATTGAATACATTAATAATTTATTAATCATTATTTTGTTATTAATTAATTAGTATAGAATGTGAGTTGAAATTGTAGAAATGTAAACAAAATAGCGAGTGAATTGTAAATATAATATTATGAAAACAATATTCAATATTGGCCTACTCCGTATTTCTTAAAACCACAGGGGCCAAATCTTTATTTCTAAGTATTAAGGGGTCAAAATTGTATTTTACTTTTTATTCCTCCCACCCAAGAAAGGAACTGCTTTACTTCTTCCTCTTGTGACAATTCTAGAGCTGGTTTTTAACTAACATCCAATTGTAAGTTCGATCAATCCTCTCTTATTTTCATCTGCGAAGTTAACCTAAACCTTAAAAATGGACGCGAATTTGCTCAACGATTTGGATTCACCTCACTCGATGGGGACCACCATCATCGGCGTCACTTACAACGGCGGCGTCGTTCTCGGCGCCGATTCTCGAACCAGTACAGGTACATTCATCATATCTGTATCTGCTAATTCTTATTTTAGGTTTGCTTCCAAGGAAAATTTCGACTATTTAGTGAATTGAACTCCGATACTTTATTTTGATTAATGGATTTTTATTCGTTTTGTGGCCGGATTATAAATTCAGGAATGTATGTGGCTAATAGGGCCTCAGATAAGATCACTAAGCTCACTGATAATGTCTACGTGTGTCGTTCGGGTTCGGTACGATACTATATTTGCTTGCTTTCACTTTCCTATTATATCTGCACAAATGTGAGGCTTAATCCCAATCTGACTTATTGTATGCAATGCATTTTTTTTTGTAGGCAGCAGATTCGCAAATTGTTTCAGACTATGTTCGCTATTTTCTACACCAACACACGTAAGTTTGTTCACCTTAAATACATGCATCATTTTATACATATTTTCATATTTGATTGCAAATTAAGCCAACTTGTTTTGGTCAATTCATTTGTTGCAATGCTAATACTATAGCATATTGTTTTTGCTCCAGATAGTTTTAAATTCTCTAACTTAAGTTTGCATATGACATATGAAGGATGGTTTTTGTCTCTCAATGGTGTTTACTTCTTAATAGTTATCGTTTATTTGGTTGTTACTGAGTTATGCTTAGCTTCTATGGACCATGTACTCTACTGATTGAAGATCATTGGACATGAATATTGTTTTTATTTATCCAGGATACAGCTTGGGCAGCCAACAACTGTTAAGGTTGCAGCAAACCTTGTCAGATTATTAGCCTACAATAACAAGGTATGGAATATTTAGTCACTTTGAACATGCAAAGCATTCACTATTATTTCTCAAACTTGTTTCTGTGCCTCACTCCTGGTCACAGCACTATGTACAATTGTACAAAACATGTATTGATTCTATTGAAAGAAATTACCTATAGCCCTACATTCAGTAGTTCTGTTGTTCCCCGTTACTGCTTAATGACTTGCCCTTTTCACTGGTGCTTGTTGGGCTTATCAGATTTTGGAATATGTTTATGATGTATCATATGCTTGTTGTTTGCATTCTGGAGTTTCAAGAGGTTTGAATCTTGGTCTTATGAAATAGTAAGGATTGGGGCTGAGATGATTTGATTGTAGAACTGAGACTTCAATTATGAGATTTTATCTATTCATTCTCAATAGATTTAGGGTTACACTTGTGTATTATGAATTTTCTTTGTTGTTTAATGACTGAACTATTCAGAATATGCTTCAAACTGGGCTTATTGTTGGTGGCTGGGACAAACATGAAGGAGGTAAAATATATGGGGTACCCCTTGGAGGCACAATATTGGAGCAGCCTTTTGCTATTGGAGGTTTGTTATCCTTCCAATTTATTTTAGTTATTCCATGCATGGATACTTTCTACCAAAACTGGCCTCTATCTTTCTTTACACAACAAAACTTCTACACCCTAAATGTTAGTCAATTCTCAAGAGACATATATGCACTTTTGTCTGCACTGTACAATTATATTGGGCTTCAGCTTCAGCTTTCCACTTTGTTATCCAGTTGCTTGCCTAGTATTTTATAGTGCATCCTTTATTATCATCATTGCTCTCGGTTAGTTTAAGGGGCTTTGTTCAGGTTCTGGTGTTCACATGTCATAGCAGATTTAATCTATCAATTCAAAGTAATTATTGTTATTGTTATTATTATTTTTTATCATTTTCAACACAATTGTATTGCTGCGAATAGAGTCATGGTGCTAGATGCTTCTGATGCTCCAATTGTATGATAGTCTAACTGGCTGAGACAATATTTGATTGTCCCTTTATCTACATACAGGATCAGGATCTTCTTATTTATATGGTTTCTTTGACCAAGCATGGAAGGAAGGAATGACCCAAGAAGAAGCTGAGGTTTGTTCATGAACATTACTAATTTGCAAGGAGTGGTTATAGAATGAACTGCATTATCATCCAATCATGCATGCACTTTTTTCTTCTATTCCACAAATTAGATATGCCAAGGCTACCTGATTCTGTCTTTACCTACCTGGCTATCCCCATACCGGCCACAAGGGCACTAAGATTATCAGGGGATTTATTATTAACCTGGAGCTCAGAATAGAAACTTTGTGAGTAGAGTTTTTTCTGTTCGGACAAAGTTTAATTCATCAACTTAAACTCCAATTTAGTGGAGAAAAAGTACTGAAATTTTATTTATATTATTATTAAAGATGACACCCTGGCTTGGTATAGTTTGGTTTTCTTTAGTTTGTTTACCTTTTTTTTTTTTCCTGTTATTATAATTTATTATTTTTTGGGTGCAAATGTTTCAAAAGTTTAGGAAGTGTGGATGTTATATACAGCTTTTCATGTGGCATGTCACATGTGCATGCCTCTTGCTGTGGAAAATATTTCTTTGATCCTCCAATAAAAGGGTCTGGGCTCTGTTAAAATTTTCCCATCATAATAATTTACGGCCTGATATCTGTTAATTTGTTTGAAGATGTTTGTAAAGTTTTTTTTTTTTTTTTTTTGATGCAGAAATTTGTGGTCAAGGCAGTGTCTCTTGCCATTGCGCGGGATGGTGCCAGTGGTGGCGTAGTTCGGACTGTTACTGTGAGTTATTTCATTTAATACTCTAGTTTATGAGATTTTGAGCATTCTCAGCACAGACGATACTGGCATTTCAGTCATGTATGCGGTAGTGCGGTACCATTTCCATATTTCATCATTATTATAACTGTCCTTCTACTGACCTGCCCCAATTACATAAAACTTTTGGGATAGTTACCAGCAAGACTTCCGAGTATTTAAATGAATCACTCATATAACTCAACTAGGTTTCCATTGGACTTGAAAAGCATAATAGTTTCCCGGTATGCAATATTTTGTAGTACCTGATATCATTGGGGTTGCAGTGAACTCATGATTGTCGTGCTACCTGTGCTCTTACGTCCTTTTGCATATATTTAGCATGTACATCTGTATGAAGATCTGAATAATGGCAGTGACGATTATGATCAGCTTAATCATATTAAAACGATAACTCTCCTTCATTGTTTGGCTGCATGTATGGTTCTTTCATCATGCATTATTGTTCCGGCAGATTAACTCGGAAGGGGTAACTAGGAAATTTTACCCAGGCGACACCCTTCCAATATGGCACGACGAGATGGAGGCACACAATTCACTTCTGGACATTTTGCAAACCAGCAGTCCCGAGCCGATGGTCAGTTGAGATTTGAGAAAGGAGCATTGGTTCTAGCACTTGTTTGGCCCAAGAGAAACTTCTTCAAAAAACTCTTTTTCCTTTTATAAGAACTATTAAGTTAAGGCTTATTTAAAACGCCCTTGTTATGTTTGGTTGGAAGCATATTAAAAAGGCTTATTTAGTCTGCTATTACTAGTTTTGTTAAGACATGGGAATTGGAAAAATATTATTAATCAAAATGAGATTTAGAGATAGTTTGGTATTAACTTTTTTTAAAATGCGAGAAAATTTAGGTGAATCAGAAATTTAATTTCTTTGAAAGTGATAAAGTTATTTCAAGTTAGGGATAACCTGATATTTTTTTTTTCCATATGAATTATTTAACATTGAAGTTAATTGGTTTTCATAACTCTAATGACCTGCGATAGTAGGTCATTAATTGATTTTTGAGTTTTTATTGTATCAAAATAAATTATTAATAAGTGTAATTATATATTTAAAAAATTTAAGGGACTAATTGACTTTTCAGTTAAAATTCAAAGACTTGATATTTTTTCAATGATGAATAAATAGAAACATTTTACTCATTCATAAAATATTACAAATCAAACAGCTTTTCATGGCTGCAATATAATTTTAGAGTATTACATGTACTTCCTAATTTTATTCCTTAATGTGACGAATTTTAAAAAATTATTTTTTCATGTGAATCTCAATACAAGTGTCTATATCAAAGTTTTGTATGTGAAAGTACAAAATAAGAGTACATGTAGCATTTTTCAAGTAAATAAAGAGGGTGTGTGTGCATTGTTATTAGAAATAACAATTATATACGGAGTACAAAATTTTATCAATTCAATTAATTTTGTACCTTTTTAAAACAAAAATTAACAGAGAGAGGTGATCAGATTACTAGTTTTAAAAGGATTTGAGAAAAAAAAAAATCAATATTTTTCTCCGTATCATAAGGAAGTGCGGAGTAATACAATTAGGCTTTACTTTACCTGAAGGGTCCTTGAATAGGAATTGGGGCTTCATTTTCCTTCCCCTTTCATCTGCGAGCGAGCTAACCCTCGGAATCGGAGTCACAGAGAGAAGAAGCACTAGAGAAGTGAGTGAAAGATCAGGAGATAATAGAAAATGGCGACGCTGGCTCGGTCCTCTCGAAGAGCCCTAGCAACCACTCTCTCCGCTTATTTGCGCCACGGACAATCTCAGTTCCGCCGGCCGCTGGCTACGGAGGCGCAGGCGGCAATCAAGGAATCATCGCCGGATCGAGTCAAGTGGGACTATCGAGGGCAGAGAAAGATCATCCCTCTCGGGCAGTGGGCCCCTAAGGTAGCTGTGGACGCCTACGTGGCCCCCAACGTCGTTCTCGCCGGTCAGGTAACCGTCTGGGACGGCGCCTCTGTCTGGAATGGCGCCGTTCTCCGCGGGGATCTCAACAAGATCACCATCGGCTTCTGCTCCAATGTCCAGGAGAGATGTGTCATTCACGCCGCTTGGTCTTCCCCTACAGGTCAGTCACTACATAGCACATTTTGTTCCTCTTTTCCCAATGCTTAAGAGTAATACTTTGATCTGCTGCAATTGTGTATTGCTGTCACTTTGAGATTGGGAAATTAATTACTTTGTTCGTTGATTGTGTTTTTTAAAATATTTTCATAAGAAATTTTGTGTATTTGACCGAGAAGCTGCAAAATTTTCTTATGGATGAAGGGCTTTCAACCCTACACACCTGCATTGTTTAGGTAAATGAAGTTATGACGAATTATATCATTTTTATAAGATTTTTTTATTTTAGAAACTCAAACCACAATAGAAGCTGTATCCAAAATCTTTTACTTAACCAAGCAACACTGAATAATCGTTCTTTTACTAAAGCTTTGTCCAACTTTCTGGACATTCCTCTTGTGGTAATTGCATTTAGGTTTAGTTTCATAAAGCAATGAACTGTGAATCACTTAACTATTTCTGTTATTGACAAGCATGCAAAAGAGTCTTTTCCACCTATCCTCCAAGATGCATCCTTGTAGTTCTGCAGTGATTGGATGCTTTCATTTTGATGGAGAACTTGGAGAAATTGAAATCTTACTTGATGCCTTTGATGGTTTAAAAAAAAAAAAAACTGAAAATCAGTGCAATTTCTAGAAAGCATTGATTTTTATTTTATGGTTATTTTTTTAGGGGGAGGGGCCGAGGGGGGTATTTCCATTAATGGCTCTAGTAGAGACATGCATCACTGTTCGTAATTTCAATTAATGACGTTCCTCCATCCAATTTTCTCAGAAATGTAAACAGGGTTCAACTCTCTAACTTTTCCTTTCCTCCATTTCTTTCTTCTTTTGTTGTCACTCTATCACGACCTCAAACCATTGCATCCTACCAGCAATTAAACTTCTGTCCTTGACTCAACTACCAGTCAGCATAAGTTCTTGCTATATTCTCCTTTGTCTGTGACAGAAAATCATGCATTGAATTCTAATTTTCAATTTTGAATGGAAAAGCACAATTGCGACTTATGTACTATTCCTGTTATTGACAACTTGACAAGCTTGCTATAGAGTCTTTTCCACCTATCAAGTGGGTGTTTTGGAACCTCCAAGGTGCATTCTTTCAGGGCCTATTAGAGTGAGGAGATTTGGTAGTGGTCGGGTGCTTTCATTTTTATGGAGAACTTGGAGAAATGGAAATGTTACATATTTGTTAAAAAATGCAAAAAGATTTAGAATTTCAAGAAAGTCTGTTATTATTATTATTATCTTGTGGGTTTGAGTAGGGTGTTACTATTTGTGGCTTGAATAGATAGACATGCATCACTACTCATAATTTGGATTTATGGGGTTCTTCCGTCCAACATGGTTGGCAGTACCAGCAATTCAGCAAACGTGTGTGTGTGTGTGTATTTTTTTTTTTTTTAAATTAAAATTTGTCTTCTCTTTTGTCTGTGTTAGAAGAATCATGTTTGTATTGCCAATCTTTTGCCTTTTCAAGAGAAAGGCCTAGCAGTATAATCACAATAAAGAAAGAGTTCCCATCAATATTATCTACTGTAAATGAAAATTTTGATTCAATTTTATAAAAAATTGAATATGAAAAAAAAAAATTAAAGAAAAGAGCAGCTTTGAATTTCATTTTAATGGGAAAAAAAAATCAACAACAAAAACTCAATTATCCTTTTCTAGGTGGTAGAGTTGGGTTCAAATTCCACTACCCCCATCCCTCATTAGATGTGGCCACAAAAAGTTTCTTCTAGTTTTGATTTGCTAGTTGAGTTTTGTGCTTTTTTTTTTTTTTTTTTTTTTAAATTTATAATTATTTTATTTTATTTTATCTGATGACATTCATTAGTAATTAATTTACTAGTAACATATTCGTCTCTTGTGCTGCTTAATTAACCCACTTATGTTCAGACATTATTCACCTAACATTGTCATTTACAAACTTTTTCCTGAAATTTTATCTCCATTGATGCATGAATTTAGAAATATAGGACAGATGAAATTATTGAAACTTGGCAACCCAATATATAATAAGCTATTTTTGGTCCAACAACCTAAACTTCTTCTAAGAACCTCAAGCCCCTTCTAGAGATTGGAAAAATCCCACAGGGAGTAACCTTAATTTGTTATATTCTCCTGTAAAATGTGGGTAAGATTGTGCCTCAGACCCTCAACTAATTTATTGCCACTTTGTCTTTTTAATTTTACTCTTTCAGTCTTTTGTCTTCTAATGTTACTGGATTTTCTTTCTCTCCATTAAACAACTGTTTCCTTATACTTTTGTGTTTTTAGTGGTATACCATGTTTAAGCATTTGGTCCTGAACAACTTCATAGCATCAATCTACAGACTGTAGACCTTATTCTTTAAGTTGTCTGATTTAATCCACTGTTTCAAGTTGTGTGCACAATGTACATGATCATGATCATGTAGACCTACAATGTATGACTTGGCTCAAATTCAAATTTTATGACAGTATGAATTCTTTGCTTTACAATTCTGTTTTTTTCCTTGTCTGTTTCGATTGTTATGTAGATTATTATTATTATTATTATTATTATTATTATTATTATTATTGTTGTTGTTGTTGTTGTTGTTGTTGAAATTGTTGTATTAGATATATGTATTTATCACTGATGGGATTGCTAAGGTTGGAGTGTTCATTTTTTGTTATTTTGTGCTGGGGTATCTATCACTGATGGGATTGCTAAGGGTGAAATTAGTATTATTTTTAATTTAGTTCTTTTGACACATTAAATTGGTTCTATCTTTGGAGAGAACTTGGACTGAATCTGACTGACCATTGTTCTTTTCAAAATTCCCAGGGCTTCCTGCCGAAACAGCTATTGAAAGATATGTGACCATTGGTGCGTACAGTCTCTTGAGATCCTGCACTATTGAGCCTGAATGCATCATTGGCCAGCACTCCATACTTATGGAAGGTTCTTTGGTGGAGACCCACTCAATCCTTGAAGCAGGATCCGTTGTCCCACCAGGGAGAAGAATCCCGAGTGGTGAGCTCTGGGCCGGGAATCCTGCAAGATTCGTTCGCACTCTAACCCACGAGGAGACACTGGAGATCCCTAAACTTGCCGTTGCAATAAATGATCTGAGCAATAGCTATTCCTCAGAGTTCCTACCTTACTCAACAGTGTATTTGGAAGTTGAGAAGATGAAGAAATCATTGGGAATCTCAATCTGAAGCAGAGTGCTGCTTGATGTTCTTTTCTTTACAAAGAAAATAAGCAATTGTAGGACTCGAATGCACGCAAAGTTTCCTTGTTTTGCATGTGATTTTTGAAATCCAACATGGTGGACATTCCATGGCTTCCTTTGGGATAATATGTTTCTGTGTTGTATGGCTATGCATAATATGCATTCTAAGGGCGGAATCTACCATAACATTGTTAATTGTAGAACTCGAGCTTTACCTTAAATTAAACAAATCTTTGCAGATGGACATTGTATTTAACGTTGCATTCATATGATTGCAAGGGAGGATTTCTCGCTGTTTGTGGAATTGTTCTAAATTTGATTTGATTTTTAGTTGTCATGAATATGATGATTTGATTTTGTCTTGCCTCCTTTGGTGAGGATTATTTCTTATTACAAAATTGAATTATAATGAAATTATTATATTCTCATTATGTTATATTAAAGCAAAAATGAAACATTTCATTACTTCATCTCGCCGACATCAAGCTAACAAAAAGAGTTAATATTAGATAAATGTTTAGTTAATTCTTTTTTTTTTTTTTTTTTTTGATGTCAATGACCAAATTAAAAGCAAAAGAGGTAGCAGATGTATCAGTGACCAAATTTTCTAAATTTGGAAATGCATCTTCAGGGGCATCTTCACAGGAACTGGAAATTTGGAAATGCATCTTCAGGTTCAGAGCGAGCCGCATGGAAATGCATCTTCAGGGGCATCTTCACAGGAACTGGAAATTTGGAAATGCATCTTCAGGTTCAGAGCGAGCCGCAAGAACTGACTAACAACTTCAGCTATTGCCCCTATCTTCAGGGGGAGCAGCAGGAATTGATACAAATTCCTGTATTCTTTTCTTTATTTTAATTTAATTTCTTTCAATATCTTAAAACTAAACTAATTAAAACTAGTAAATACTCCAACCCCAAAAACTCAGAGCTTCAGCTATTGCCCCTATCTTCAGGGTGAGTAGCAGGAATTGATACAAATTCTTGTATTCTTTTCTTTATTTTAATTTAATTTCTTCCAATATCTTAAAACTAAACTAATTAAAACTAGTAAATACCTCCCAACCCAAAAAACACACACACATATTGGAGATGCATACTTTTACAAGAGAATTGAAAATGTTCAACCAATTTGTTATATTTACATTCTAATTAGGAAATTGCATGACAAATTGATCAATCTCATGCAAATTTGTATGTAACATTAGATTTTCATTTTTGTTACTTCATGAGAGTTATGTTTTCATACAAATGTTGTACATGAAAGCAGTCCATTCGTATGGCAACATTGAAGGTAGTACATGTTGATTGTATTAGGCATGCCCATCAAACTTTTAACAAATTTTTTTAAAAAAATTGACAATTTTAAAACTTGCGGATTGTAATTAACAACACTTCAATAGTTATATGATCAAAAATAATTTTTTTATTTAAAATATAAATTTTTTTCTCATGATTTTCTTTCAATAGGTGCATTTAAACTTGATTCAAAAGTTTCAATTTGTTAAACCTAATGTGTTGATTTTATTATCTATTAGTCGGACAAGCATAAACCTATCTATATTATATTGCTATAAAATATTGATTGCTTGTCTTTTCTTCTCATATTTTGTATAACATTTATATTCCTAGCGTTATCCTTATCCCTGCAAATCTCTCTCACTTCCATATCTTTACATTTGCAAATCCTCCACTATTTGTTCTACATTCCTGCAAATCTCTTTCGCTCTTGAAAATAAAATCTACTTTCACATTATATTATATTATAAATATAATAATAAAATAATAATAGAAGGAAAAAAAAAAAAAAAAGCTACAAGCAAATTTGCAAGCCACATCATCAACCCAATCCAATAAACAATGTTTTTTTGGTATGACACATCATCTTGCAAATGGAACTTTTGCTGGGATAATCTCAGTCTAAATATCTACTACATAACTAATGTCTAGCTTTTTTGAGTAAATGATTTTCATAAAAAAACAACCTCGAGACGGAGAAGGTATCTCCGTCTTCCTGGCCATGGAGACGAAGAAGTTCTCCGACTGGTTTGTTTGTTTTAAAAATAAAAATTTAAAAAACTAAAAATTATTTTTATTTAGTTTTTTTTTTAAAGAGATATTTTTAAATTCGATAACGTCACATCGGTATATTTTCAAGTAAATAGGTTATTTTATGTTGAATTCATGAGTTTGTGTTGTTCAGGAGTTCAATTGTATTTTTAAATTCAATGGCCTAATTATAATTGAGTGTGCACTTGAGTAGTTTATTTGACCCTTATTTTATTAATATAATAATCAATAAAACAAAATTAATACTGCTCTGTTTTATAATTTTTTTTAATCTATCTATATATCTATATATCTATATATATATAAAAGTAAAATCCTCCAAACCAATTTTCCCCCCAAAACCTAGGGTCATTTATGTGAATTCATATATATTCTGTTATGGAAATAATAATTATAGATATAAAAAAATAAATATATTCATTTATATATACGTGTGATATTATACATATATATTAGATGTATATATTGGTATTAATAATATATAAATTAGGTAGTAAAATAATAATTAAATATAGTAAATATTCCGTGTGGTATATATATAGACATTATATACATTATACAATTAATATTTAATTTAATCTATATATATTAATAATAATAATAATTTTATTACCTTACTTACTTTACTTTTTATATTTTTTAAATAAATTATTATACTTTCCTTTCGAATTACTATTTTCACCTATAAATACAAATTTATAGACTTTGGCATTCATTCATCTTCCCTCACACTACTGGTTGTTCATGATTTTCAATATATTCCTATGTTTTCTTCAATCCTAGCAAAACTCATTCACTTAATCCCTACTTCAGGTAATTGTTTCTACTCTCCAAATTCTTTTGTTTAAATCTAAGTTTGTTGAGATTGATGATGATGATCAATGAATAATATGCTTCGCTTATTATTATTATTCGATTTATTTGATTCACAGGTTTCTTATCAAGGTGGTTAGGATGCTATTAAGGTTGATAGAAAGTTTGCCTTTGAGGGTAAGATTTTATATTCACCAAAATTATTATTTTCCCCGAGTATTGTATGTATTGATATTATATGTGATATTATATGATATATGTTATTCATGTGAACACAAGTACATTTATCGATAAATGGTAATATTGTGAGTGGTGATTCTCGAAATATCAAAGTATTGTATTAATACTGGATTATGGACTATAATTATATTTTGGACAAATCATGTGGAGAAAATTGTATTTTTTTTTTTTGAAAAATGTATTTGGAGAAAATTACATATTCTGGAGAAAATTGTATTTTGTGGAGAAAGTATTTATTTGTGGAGAAATAATGAAATTTTGAGAAAATAATATATTGTGTGGTGTCCAAGTAAGAGTGAGTACTGTTTACTTGACTATTTACTACTCATTAGGCTTGGAATCACATGAGAGTGTATCACATAAGTTATGATTCAATTTCCAAATTGTTTGAGTGGTAGTAGGTAGGAAAACCTAACTACTTTGATCATATATTACCCAGTGGCTTGAAATCTTCTAGGCGTGCACATAGGTTTTAGTCCAGTTTCAAAGTGGATTTCAAAAAATTTGGTTACTTCTCCATAAATAACTATTTATTCTCCATACAAGAAAATGTATAACTCCACATGTATTTTAGAAAAGTATGAAATTATATGAGTTTTGAAAATATAAAAAATTCAAACCACTATTTTACGGGGTGAAGTGAAACTTACTTAGCTTATGCTAATTTTTGTCTACATTCTGTTTTTGTGTAAAATTATTTATGCAGGTGAACATGGATACGAATTCGGGATGAACAAGTTGAGAAGGAATAAAGTTTAATTATTTGTTATTTTGAGAAAAATATTGTTGTATAGTAATTTCAGTTTTAATTACTAAGTTGATTTTGAGATATTATTTTATGTTGTAAATTTAGCATAATTACCATAAATAATGTTTAATAATTGACAAATTCTATTAGATAATAAAAATTAGCATTATAAAATCTTTTGTACTATGGATACATTATTTTTAATTATTTCGGTTTAATAATATTATATCTTATTTATAAAAATCAAAGTAATACTTTTATTACTATTGAATATTGATTGACTAAAAATAATCTTAATTATTATTAAGGTAATTAATAGGTATTTAGCTTTAAAAAGTCTTCAAATATATGAATTATACAACCATAGAATCAATTAGTACGACAATTATATTAGGTAATCTAATTAATAATTTACTTTTTAAATTATATCTCCTTTTCAATAATGAATATAAGATTTATTCCGTGGAAATATTTATGGCAATTTTATAAATTATAATTAATAAAATATAAAATATAATTAAGAAAATAAAATTATAAAATTAACAAAATATGAATATTTATAATTTTTAAAAAATATACATACATACACTTTTTTTTAGATAAATACATACATACACTTATGCACTATACTAATAATAATACAAAATTTAAATGTTGCTTTTAAAAAAAAAAATTCTAAATGTAATTTTTAATTATAAATTGATGAGTGCACATAATAGTGTTTATTTCAGTGTATTTTATAGAATAAGGTTACAGGCTTTATATACACAAAGAATAGCTAAATGATAGGAAACTAACATAGAATTATTCTAACAATCACAATAATGCTAACCGCTCAATAAAATCTATCAATATAAATTATAATTAATGAAATTATATTATATAATTTTCCTATATACATATTAATAAATATTATGTGTATATACAATCTATTATACAATCATATAAGGAAATGCATCTGATTAGAGTTTAAGTTTACTCATACAAAATTTAAAATTTAAATTTTTTTATTGATTTCTAAGTATATATAATTTTGTTAGTTAGTATTCATATTTTTAGAATTATAATATATATGAAATATAATTAGGAATAAATCAACTTAATTATGTGAATTTTTTCTATAAATTTATCTAAATATGTATTGATTAGAGATTCTATTAACCATACAAAATTTAAATTTTGTATGTTATGAAAATAGATACTTTTCAAATATGTAAAAGTCTAATTATATTATTATATTGTACAGTTTAACGTCTTTTCATCATTTTTGTCTATTTTCAATTTTAAATTCTTAATAACAAAAATTTTTCGTGCAACGAACGAGTAAAACACTATATTTTTAAAAAATACAATTGGATAAATGTCATAAATTGGTACAAAGTCATTTCTGTTTATAATAATTAAAGAAAAAAATAAATAATCCAAA